TGAACTCAGCCAGACCTTTATCACATTGGGAGCSCCGGATGCACGGTTTGACCCGAGAAGCAAGCACAGCTAGAGCAGTGCGACCCACCTAATGTGAACATTATTGYACTGCAGAGATGTGTGACCTGACAGAGACACTTACAGGAGTGCAGTTATCCCCAAAACAAATGAGAAATCTTATTACAACCCTGATGCCTAACCAATACCGATAAATCCAKTTTAAAAAACATTCATAGATCAGATCTTCACTGAACCAGTGCAAAGCAACAATATCAAGCTTGAGACCTTCTCTACACTCTGACTATTTTTAAGGCCAGCATTACATACCAAGAAGACTCTGATGGTGTATTTTTAATACATATAAACTCTTTTGCTAACAGGTCCACATTGATGCTTATGCACAAGGGAAACAGCTACAGAAGAAGAAACATAAGTAATGCTACCAATTCCCTGCTCCTCTACCCTAGGAGTTTTAATATAGTCATATTAAAGCCATCAATGCATCTGTGGGAGTAGGATATTCAAATAAATCATAATCATTTTGCCTTCCTGGATAATTCACCTGTGATACCTTGCTCTGCAAGGTCTAGAAGCAGTAGCTAACAGAACAGCTCACTCAACCTCAGTAAAATGAAGCGAGAGCATCTGAACATTTTTTGTCCTAACGGTCCATGAAGGAAAGGGCTCAATGATGTCCATGAGGCCAAAGAAGCGTAGCTGAACTGCAGCCTCTGCTYGCTACCCATGCACCTTTCCAAGGCTCATCAGCACGCAGCTCATCAGTGAGYAGTCATTTATCCAGCTTAGCATATTATGTTGAACTTCAAAATTTCAGAAAAAGAATTCAAAACYAGGGTCACTTCAATTTCCTGAAGCAGACTAAGAAGCCTTGTAGTCATCGAGTGCAACACCCCCGTCTACAAAGTGTAAATATATGGCAGACACTGAGAAGCAGCAGAAAGAGGAGCACACCTTCTGTAAACCAGGTTTTGGGCCAGTCACAGGCTAAACAATACCCTCTCTGCCACGGGTACTACTGCTCAATAACCATTTCTATTCTCACTAAAAGATTTCCATCCCTAGGCCACCAACAAGGTGAGCAGTGGCTACCACCCCCCTKTACCTTTCCTGTGACAAGGCACAGAGCAGTGACAAAACAGCAAGAACTGTTCACTCGCCAGGGCGAAGCTTACAGCAAAGAGCATCACCCTGCCTCCCACCAAATGATTTCAGAGCATTAAAGGATAAAGATTTAACACTACAGACAGTCGCTTGAAGGGGAGGGTATAAATACCACAGGGCCTTAGAGGTGAACCCCAACACAAGCTCAAATATCCCAGTGCTGTCACCCGGCTTTCTCAGACAGTTTACAGCTCCCCCRAAAGAGAGGGGAACTGGCCTGAAGAACACACACGAGCTTCCCGACGGGGCACGTGGGCCTGCTCAGAGTCACCAGGAATATGACCTCAGACACCTGGAGCAGCTGCTCCCAAACTTTTCATAGTYGTGGCTCAGCTTAGAGACCCGTGGCCCCTAAACGTCAGCACAAACATCGAACAAGCCCAGGTCCTGACAGAGCCCCGTTAGGGCTTCACTTTTAGAACAGCTCCCCCTGAAAGAAAATACATGCCCATGTGCACAGGCAAGATCTGAGCTTTAAGCTGAGGCTGGTTTTCTCAGGCTTTGCTCAAATTCTCAGGCCGAACGCTCAAATAAAGCCCAGACCAACATAACATGCACACACTGAGGGCGACAGCATCTCTGCTTTTTACAACTACACCRAGAAAGTCTGCTGGGCAAGAAGCAACACTGACATTTATTTCACACTTTTGTCCAGCAGCTTCTCAGCACATCTTATTCAGACTTGGCCCTCAACCCTCTCCTTTCCAAGTTCAGGAGCCACATGTTGGGCTGGTGCCCTCCAGTTGGGCAAACTTTGCTAAGTCAACCAGAGCCATAAAGACACTCTCAGCCAGCTAAGCTAATATCTCAATATCTCTGGGCAGGCTGTRGCTACCCACCTCAATGCCTTAAAAAAATAAAATAAAGGGTTGTTAAACCTGTTKCTAGTAAAAGACTTGCCTTATTCAATTCGAACGGTGCTAAGAACAGAATTTGATTGGCAAGGGCCAATACTGACCAGTCTTTGGCTGTAACGGATCCTTTCTTCCTCAGGCTCCATCTCTGAGTCTTCTGAAGAGAGCGAGAAGGACACCCCAGGGCTGCTGTCTTCCTCCTCTTCCTCCTTTGAAACCAGAGGGAAATAGTGAAGCAGAGTACAGACGCGAGCCTCCAACACCCTCAAATTTGGGAGTGATTCCACACGGCTACGCCAGCCCAAGGCAAAAAAAGTGGAGGAGCCCACCTCTACTTTAACACTCCCATTCTAACTTTAGTCATGACCCGGGGTAAATGACTCTACCAGCTGTCCCGTAACGCGACATGAGCTGCAGGTCCCAGCTGAGGAAAAGGCTTCTGCTCTGCACTGCTGCTAGCACAGGCGGCAGTTAARTTGGCCCACCCAGGGGATATGAACCACGCAAACCGTGCACCTGCCGTTCAACATCTCACAGCAAACGGGGAGCAACACAAGGGTACTGGTTAAAGCAGCACGTCGTCTAAGGGACAGGACTGCCGTTCTCGGGATTTTCTGTACCAAAGTGCTCGAAAAGAGCAGCTACGCACAYAGAGCGTGGTTCCCATGTAGATGAACGGGCTCTCTCCTACATACAGGGAGTCAACATGGTTGCAGGGGGAGGACTAACTCCTGCTTGGAGAGGAGCAAAGCGCCCAGCTCTCAAGACCTGCCACCTTGTGACACCACTGCACTACCACGGAGAAGAACTTCCCAAGGCGCCCGGTGGCATCTAAACTTTTTTCTTAAAAAGAAACAAAAAGGGAACAGAAAACAACCCAACCCTAAGCACCCTGCAGCGCGTACCCCCACGGCTTCCAGGCATGGGGTGGGCCACCCTACACGGCGCCCGTGGGGCTGCTCCCGCGGAGCTGCTTCCAGCCGGGACCCCGCGCGGGGTTTGACAGCCCGGCAGCTCCKGGACCCCGGAGCGCGGTGCCGCCCGGCTCTGCGCTCCGGCTCCCACGGGCGCTCTCCGCTCGCCCAACTCTTGTTTGTAAACAGCCGGAGCGGCAAGGCGAGCGCTTGGGACGGGGCACCTCGGGATGCCGCGGCCGGGCCCCGAAGCCGACCCCAAAGTGCCCGGGGGGGGGCCGGGGGGGCAGCGCAGGAGCGGGACAAAGCGGCGGGCGGGACGTCGGCGCCCGCGGAGCTGTCAC